GGTGAAGGAGTTCTTGCCTCCTCCCTCTGACAAGCAAGATGGAGAGAGAAATTCAGGGAAGAGGGTGCTGACCATCAAAGCCATTACACTCACATGAGCCTCTGTGTGCCCACCTCTCTCATGCAGCCCAGCATGGAGTATCTCAGAAGGAGCAAACACCCTCCCTTCCTCTCCTGAAAGCAGCAATGCCTATCAGAAAATGCAGGCAGAGTTTTGCTCTGACTCCTCCTGCCAGTCTCCTGCACATCTCACCACCAAAGTCATCCCACAGGAAGAACACCAGAAAAAGGAACGGCAAACCATACAGAGTACAACTGGAGTAAAACAAAGACATCTGCTTAAAAATTCAGGGCCCATCTCTACTCCTGCTAAGGATGCTGGGGCTTTTGAGACCCAGCAAGGACAGACGTGAGCACTCTCTGCCTCTTGTGTGTCTCAGCACAAACCCTCTCCAGGATGAGAGCCACTGAAGCATGTTATAAGCACAGACCATGCTCTGCACTCCAAGGAATAATTTCTGGTTGAGATAGCTTGCAGTCTGGTTCAGTGTCCTCAGGAAATAAGGCAACCTTATACCCCTTGTGATGAACTAGAGAGGAGGCGTTCAGGGCAGCTGAAAGGTGAAAGCTTTGGTCTTCATTACTGTTGTTTTCTGTAATGGCAAGTAAGACAGATAAATCAATTTTTTCATTGCATGTTTGAGCTCCGAGGAAACAATGGAAAAGGGACAATTCAGAGAGACAAGTTGCTCAATACAGAGCATGGCTCATTTCCATTTTGGGGGACTGATTTGAATGCTCTGAGAATATGTAGATGTTGCAAATATAATCTCCAGCTGTAGAAACCACTACCAGGGTCTCCATTTCCTGTGGTCTCTCTGACACACACGCTACCTGCTGGAGATGCAGGTGTGTTGCTGGGGCTGCTGTGGGGTGCGGCAGTCACGGCACAGCTATTCCCTGTTAGGTAACCAGGAGCACATTCACACAACGGAGAGAGAAATCAAGGAGCCCGTGATCTGAAGTTACATTAAAGACAGGTTCTCTAAGAATGTGAACTGTGCCATGGATGATTTCTTGTGTGGATAATTACATGGGTGATAACAAAATACAGCTAAAATAGAGGACTTGCCTACAAATCACTACCTAACACGCTCTTTTGAGCTACAGCTTATTCTTAAGCAATATTGGTTAAGCAGCAAATCAAGGCTAAAATTAAACTGTACCTCTTACATGCTCAAGGATTTCTGCATCCCTTTGCATGAAAAGGCTTGAAGGGAGGGTACAGCCAGCCACCCTCTTCCAACCTCCCATAGAGAGAAGGGAGACATACCACCCCCACAGCCACAAACCATGGGCTGAGCACCCCAATGGACATCAGTCTGCCCAAGACAGACAGCATATGATTGAAGACAACATTTGCTACTCACAGGTGCATACAGAATGTGTCACACAGTAAAAAAAACCAGCAAAATTAAACACATGCAATGCTTTAAGTCTTTATTGTTGCTGAAGAGTAACTGGTACGTGGTTAAAACATTCTAATAATCAGTGAACTCTGAAAACTAAGGCTTTCTGTAGGTTTGTAGTATCCTGGTGTTTCCTTTCACACAGTGCACATATAAAATCAAGTTATAAAAACATGTTATCTTCTTTAAACAACAGAGATTGATGCAATGCACAAAACTAGGAACTACATTTCGTATGATTGAGACAACGCCTTACAGACCAGTTTCGGGCCTTGCAGCTTTGAATCCAGGAGAGAAATGTCTTGGTCTGATGTCCTGCTACCCAGATGAGCTGGATGACAAACACAGATCGCAGGATTTCAACCTTCTGTTCTGAGCAGAGAGAAAGAAACTCCTGATGCTGAAGAGAAAACGTCTGATTGAGCAAACAAGAGCAGTATCCATAAAGGCAGGAAAAGCACGTTGGTGGTCTCAGATAACACAGGCAAGACCTGCAGGTCCTGGAGATGAAGCAGTCGCCACTGAACAGCTGCTGGGACTGCGAGAGAAGGTAAGCTGTGACAAATGTGCTAACGAGTGAGATGAGTCTTGGTGCCAATACACATCCCATGAAACAGGGGTGCTTGTGATTCCTGGAGTACTAGCACCTTTAACCTAACAGCACTGAAAACATGGTTCAAACTGATTTACCTGGCATGTCTTAGTGTGCTTCAAATAGGGAAACAGGGTAAGAACAAAATGGTCTCCAAAAAATCTGTATACTAGAACCTTTGGAGTAAAAAGCTACATTTTGATAAAAGAGGAAAAAAAAGCATTCACAAAAAGATCTCCCCCCAGTTCCTTAACCACTTTTTAAACAAAAAGGTGTTTATAATCCACAAAGCTTTTTATTTTTATTAAATTTTCTCCTGTCTTGCATTTCTAATTGAGCTGGAAAACAATGCCCATCATCTGAACATTTACATCGGTCACAAAGCCGACATCCTTCCCTGTGAGAGGAGGATTCTTCACTCACCATGGGCCACCCCACATGCTGGAGTCAGGCACTGCAAACATAACATTTGCAGCCAAGAAGATTATTCTTTCTCTTTGATCCCAATACATGAGAGGAGGATGAACTACAGATTTGCAGGATGTTTACCACATTACAGTAGGTTGTGTGTTTGGCTCCAGCTGGGAGAAAAACCCTTGTAAGGGTCAACGATGGATTGCATTTGATTTCATTTTCAGAGCCCAACTCTAATCACACACAGGCGTAAATCTTTCACTGTTCCACGACCAAGACTCACACTGAAGTTTTCGATACATCTGACGACACCGAAGTTCTCTGAACGACTGAGAAAAGCGTAGCTGGCCATGGTTACTCCTAGTGTGAAAGCATAGCCATGGCTCAGGACAGACTAGAAGAACCCTTTTGGGTCTCCTCTGCATTAATCACAAATGAAGTTTTTAGTTTTTCCCTGGCAGCAAGTTACCTGATGTGCAGGGAACTGCACCACAGCAGAGTACTACGCGAAGGAAAACCAGGCTGTGTAGATTTAAGCTGCAATCGTGCCTTTGATATCACAGAATTACATTTTAAAAGTCCTCATAGTGCAGAAAGAACCTCCTTCCACTTGTGACAATGAAACACCAGTTGTGAGTTGTCAGGTACTCAAATATAAATATGAAAAAACCATTAAGAAACATAACCCTAAATATAAACCTAGATTCATTTATTTTTAAGAAAAAGGGGATTTAAAAAATTAGAGTAAAATGGATGGCTTCAAGTACTTTCTGCATAATAAACAATTAGTTATTATAAGCATAGATTAAAAAATACTCGTCACCTTGCAAGGGACAGCTGAATAGAGGCTGGTGATTTCTTCAAAAAATGGCCTTCGATACAAACACATTAGACAACACGTGTAGTGTTGTAATTTAGAAGAAAAGAGATGTGTCTCTCGTGCCGACCCAGAGATACTCAGCACAGTACAAGATACATTTTGCACTCTGTACTCGCACATTTCATGGCAATGCCACCAAACGTATGGAGCCAGGACATCTTGATTTAGCTTAAACAAGCCTTCATGCAATAAACAAAAACTTTTTATTAAGTTAGGAAAGTTTTGCAGCAATACAGTTGATTGAGTGGTCTAACAGTTTTGAGGTTGAAAAACAAATTTAACCTGAAGCGTTTCCTAAGTGCTGGCAATGTTTATGTCTTTTACTGTGTGAGCATGAAGATTACTTGTACTGTATATGGCAAGGAGTACACTTGAAAGTGCCTTGTCTGAGTCTAAGCTTTCAGATTTTCTGAATGTCATGAAAATAAAGTGTTACAGTGAGAGCTCCAAAAGAAACCCCAAAATTGCAAAGGAGGTTGGAAAAGGAGTGATGTCATCAGGCAATCAAAGGGAATACTGCAAAGGGAAGATGCAACTCAGTTTATCTGTGCTGTGATCAGTCTGAAACATATCTCTTGTACCTCTAAGGAGACAACCATTGCGCCAGATGCATTTCAACAGGTCAGACACACGCAGAACAAGCAGTCTTCCTGCCTATCTATATGGACACTTGAAATGCCTAAGGAAGCAATGTGAAAGCCAAAATAAATACTTCAAAAAAGAAAAGATATCTTGCCTACTCTGAAAAATAGGTAAAATGTTTTCAATGAAATAATGTCTATAAGAAGACCTTTTCGAAAGACATTTTCCAGCTACTCAGAGACAGACACTTATTTTTGCGTCTACCAGAAAAAAACACCAATGAAACAAGAAAAAAGCGGCTCCCCTATCCTGCAGTTCTGTGTACTACAGTTGAAACGAGTCTCCACAGCTAACATGGGGACTGAAACAGTATGAAACAGTGAGAAATCAAAACTTAGCTGCATAGGTCTATTCAATAATCAGTTAAGATTTAAATAGCAGCAGAGCAGCGCTGTTTTCTGCACTACCACACAAGTCTCCAAGGCTTAAAACTTCACAGTGACCATGCCAGAATGGTTGAATAGCGGTGGGTTCAGTAGTGTTTGGAAAAGCTTATGTGAAAATACTCTTTTAATTTAAGTTTGAATATTTGAAAAAGGAAACAGAACAACTTCTCCTCCAACTTCCACCTACCATCAGAACATCCTTAAACTTACCAGCTTTCCAAATCCGGAGCTTACTTTACGACAATGTGATTATACAGAAATCATACATCTGTCTCTCTTAGCCAGGCAGTTCGGGTTTCTACATGAAAGTTCAGTGCATGTCACATTTACTAACGTCCTTACGATTGTTCAGTAATCCAGCAATTTGTTTCTTAATTACAGCAGAATGCAGTTGGTAGCTGATTGCAAGAGCAATGTTGAAATTACATTCAGAGATAGAAACTACCATTTTCACGTGTAGCAATAACTAACATTTTTCTTTCTCTTCACAGAGTCAAGTGCAAATGTCTAACAATGGTGATAGTAAAAGACAATTCTCATGCAAAAATTCTTCCCTGTGCATAAAATTTTCAGGACATCTCAAAAGCACCCATTTTTACACCTTTCTCTGCCCCAGAACTAATTGTTTTTTCTTTTTGTGTCGTGAAATTTCTGTTGCTTTTTAAAATACCGATGACAAGCAAGTTCAATTAGTTCCAGCCCACCAAATACCTTTTGCTGCATGACAAAAAAGATGACCATGGCTGCAAAATACCAGCGTGCAAAGCTGTACAGGTACAGCAGTGCAAGCATACCCAGTGGGAACACCGTCCAGTACAGGAGCGAGATGCACTTAACTGCGAGGACCCTGAGCTCAGATTTACACGGTGGAATGATGCTTTGCCCTGCCACACTGAAGCACTTTCCACCTTCATAGAAGTGTCGGAGTCTCTCTTCTTTCTCTTCCCAACGCTGCCGGCACCAAAGCTGCAGCTCCTCCTTGGAAGTGGGCACTGTCTCTATGGGATATCTCTGGACGTGGAAGTGAATCTCCTTTGGGAAGTTCCCATTCAAAAGGTGCTTCTCTGTCTGAGGAATGTTTTGGGGGTACGCCACAGTTACGTCATGGATAGCATCGAGATTGTCACCTAGAAGAAAGGGTTAGGGAAAAAGCATCAATATTAATACAGATGATGTGATGGTCAGAACATTAAGTCGCTTCAAGGCAGGACTGAAAACTGTCCAAATTCTGGCAGAAATACCAAAGATACATTAGCTATGCAGAGTATGCTCGATCTGATAGAATTCCTAAAGGCTGAGAGATCAAACTTTTTGCAATCATTACCTGTTCGGAACCTGAGCAAAAAACTTTGCAAACAAAATTATACACAGTACAAACTGGCATAGAATTACAACACAGTGAGTAAGAGGATAAAGTCAAATTTAAAGGACAGAAAATGCACTGCTGGTCTTGGATAAAGAGCAGTGTATGTGAGACCAATCTTCAGTTGTTCACACCCATGCTGGATGCTGAAATTGCTTTTAACTAATGAAATACAACTTGGTGTATGTTCCTGTGAACACTGAAAAAGATTCAGTTTGATCTGGAGCAAGCAGTATATACTATCCTAACTCACTGAAGATTCAGAAAACATGTGAAACATAAACCAGCTAAATATCAGGAGCTCATTAAATGATGGGTATCTCTCAGAGGATGAGGAGTATCTCTGTAGCTCAGCAGGTTTGCAGAGCACTGGATTTAACACAATTTCTTTAAATCTGACCAGCCAGTACTGTAAGGAGGTGAGCATTCCAGTTCTGGTAAACAGCATAAATGGGGGAAAAGCTCAGCTTTACGTAAACCTGTTTGGGTAAAGTGAGTATAGTTAACCATTTAAAAAGCAATTGCAGATTAGAAGTTCAAGGGAATACTAATGAAAAAAACCTCTCTGCTCTTCAGTACCATACCTGATTGAGCCAGAACTCCTGAAAGGATACCAGTATTGCCAAAGTGGGGTTTGATAGCACATGTTTGTACTAGGTGTTTTTCACATCTTGCACTATCTAAATACTTTCTTTATCCCCAACCTCTGACTAGACATTCTTTTTAGATTTCATAAAATAAATTCTGTTAGTAGAAAACTGATCTAAAAATAGGCACATGGTGCACTGGATGTTTCATAACGGTGAAGTTCTGCCAGCAGTGATTTATCCCACTGCTTTTATTTGGCTGGCTGGCTCAGGGCAAAATAGAATTGGAGACTAAAAGCTGTCTGCAGTTGCAGCGATTGAAGACTTTTGTTCTCGCAGATGATGTCACTTCTCGCAAAGATGATAAAAACCTACACTTTAGCTCTGCTACCCCTTTTCATTTGCTCCCCTTCCCTGGCATTTTGGCTTTCTTTTACAGCTTTAAAAATGACAGGTACAAAATAGACAGTTACTTTAAAAGGCCATGTTCAAAATGATGTGTCTAAAGTTCAACTCCAAATATCACAAGAGGGGGAAAAACTCTGTTCAGCCCTTCAGAGTGTTTTAGAACTCTGCTGTCTTACAATGATCTCTCTCGGACAGTTTTGTGGCATGTAACTTGGGTTTTTAAAGACCTATATATGGCTCCTAGGAGGTCTATCAGAGCAAAACTCAATACTCCAGCTTTTGCCTAGCTACAAGATCACACCTTATCTAAGCAGGGAGTTATTGTATTCTGCATGGGTAAAACCCCTCAGGTATCCTTCCAAGAGATGCCAAAATTGAATGTATCTTAGAAACCCAGCCCTTACAAAGGGAAAGCATGGCCAGCCTGTGGCACCTTAGCACAAGGCATTTTCATTTTGAGAACAGCTTACAATTTTCTGCCCCCTACTCCAAATATTTTGCTGTTGGAAAGAATTACAGTCCTATAGGACAGACATCCCCTAGTTCCTGGCCCAGTCACAAAATAAGCTGCTACATATGTCTCTAAGAGATATCAATTTCTTAAAATCTATCTTTCCCCAGGTGCTAGGGGCACATAAAACCTACACGCTTTACCTCAGGAGGGAGGCCAGAAAAGTTCAGCCTTCCTGAGATCCCTGTATGAAAAAAGCCTTCTCTGAAAAGACTTTGTGGCTACATGAGTTTCTCACTCATCTTGCAGTCCTTTGTGTCTTTGCAGCTGTTTAGTCTCTCTGCCATTACATGCAAATGTTCTTGAGAAATTAAGGCTTTGCACATAAGGATCACTGGCATACAGACCACAGGCAATAAGTCATCAGATCTGCTTACGACGCTGATCTTCTGGCTCTGCACAAGTGAGACTGGCAGGACTGGGCAGGACTCCCTGCACCCACAGAGCTGGTCTCAGCCCTTTGGCACGCAGATACATTTCTGCCCGTGAATTCCTGACCAGAACTAGGGAAGCCTCTACTCCTTACCTATGTGTTCGTACCATCCCCAGACAGATACCTTCCAGCAGAGCTTCACACCAGACTTCTACAGTCTTTACACTACATTACAGCTTCTAAATTAGTTACCCAAAGCTCAAAAAGCTGCGTACAGGAGTGTGGACATTACTCTTTCTTCATTACGAATGGGGAAATGGAGGCAAAGGATGATTATGTGACCCACTCAGTGTGCCCAGCTTGAACCAGTATCTCCTAATTCCCAGCTGCAAGGTTCACCTAATTAGAGTGTATTTTACAAAGAATGGAACTTCAAAGGTAGATTTAGCATATCTGAAAGCACAGAAACATCAGAAAGAGAGAAGACCAGAACACCAGGTTTCATATGCAAGAGCACAGGAGGCTTTCTCAACAGGCCCCTTGTTTGGGTCATACATATTTAAAAACTCCACACAAATGGCAGCCTCAAGCTTTAATACCCTGGTAAGGCGAGCATATGGAAAGGACCAGCTTCAATCAGTTTTCTATGCTGAAAGAAGCATGCTCTGCAAGTGATACATGCAGTATAGCTGCGGGATCCACACTGAACAAAAAGGTTCTGCATAGCCTCTGCTGATTTATCAGTGGCTTCTTTTAATATGAACAGGGTCAATATATCACTGCCAAATGTGCTACAAGCAAGTCTGCTAAAAAAGAAGAAAAGTCACTGCAGCAGATGAAGGTAGACCATTTGTGAGCAGGGACAAAATTGCCTTAGGTTAGGTTTAATCAGGCAGTTTTGAACCTGCATCCTTGGCTAGAGCATCTTTACTATGTCTGTCTCCCTCTGAAGTTAAGCTCACTGTCTGCAGTCTGGAAATATCTAACAGTGCATGTTTCAGATTGATAGCAAGGTGCCAGTCAAGCAGCAGAAGATAGTGATCCTAAGTGAAGGTGCAGGGTAGTCACTGATTTTAAAGATCTTGTTTAATTTTAAATTTTAATTGCGCTCACTGAAACACGGTGGGAT